ATGCACATTCATACAACAAGGACACTTGTTCCACTATGTTCATAGCAGCATTATTTGTAATAGCCAGAACCTGGAAGCAACCTAGATGCCCCTGAACTGTAGAGTGGACAGAGAAAATGTGATACATTTACACAATGGAGTACTATTCAGCAGGAAAAAACAATGGAATCTTGAAATTTGCAGGTAAATGGATGGCACTAGAAGAAACCATCCTGAGTGAAGTAACCCAGTAACAAAAAGAGAAACATGGTATGTACTCACTCATTTATGGATTTTAGACATGAATCATGGGAGTGCCAGCATACAATCCCACTGCCAGAGAGTCTGAGAAACAGAACCTTCATCCGGAGACTGATGGAAGCAGAGGCAAACACCCACAGCTAAACACTGAACTGAACTCCTGGAATCCAGTGACAGAAAGGGAGAACTGATGAGCAAAGGAGTTAAGACTGGGCTGGTTTAACCCACAGAAACAAGTAAACAAGGGGGAGCTCTTGGACCCCTGATTGATGGCTGGGTGGAAAGCATGGGACTGACCCAAACACCCTGAATGTGGGTGCCAGTGAGGAGGCCTAGGTAATCTATGGGGCCTTGGGTAGTATTTATCCCTGGCGTTCAAATAGACTTTGAGTGCCCATCCTACAATATGGGAGGCTCTCTCAGCCGGGACTCTTGGGGGGAGGGCCTAGTCCCTACCCTGGATGAAATGACAGACTCTGGAGATCCACCATGGAGGATCTCACCTTTCCTGGGGATCGGAGTGGAGGTTGGGTGGGGAACTGGGGGGGGGGGATAGTAGGAAGGGCAGGGGAGGAGGGAAGGGAGAAGGAGCTGGGATTGACATGTGAAACAAGCTTGTTTCCTTTAAAGAAGGAAAAAAAAAAAGAATCTTCTGCAATGAATATCTTCAGGTGATGAATCAATAAACAATTGTATAATCAAATTAGGTGTGCTGACTTGATGAACGTTTCTCACAGGCATTTGTATTTGATTATACTAATAAAAGGAGTACATTTTATTGAAAACAGATTCTTTTCTCAAATAATATATCCTGATTATAGTTCACCCCCTCCACTCCTCCCAGCTCCTCTCCTCGGGATCCGCTCCGTTTCTGTCTTTTATTAGGAAAGACCAGGCTTCTAAGAGTTAACAACCAAACATAACAAAGTAAAATGTAGTAAGATGAAGCAAAGACTTTCACATTGAAGTTGAATACAGTAACCCAAAAGGAGGAAACGTGTTCTAAGAGCAGGGGAAAGAGTCAGAGACCCACTCGTTCTCACAGTCAGGAGTGCTGTAAAAGGACTAAGCTAATAGCTATAATACGTACACAGAGGACCTAGTGCCGACCCAGGTAGGCCCTGTGCTTGCTCCTTTAGTCTCTGAACTCATATATGTGCCTTGCTTAGGTGGTCAGTGGACCATGTTCTCCTGGTGCCCTCCATCCCCTCTAAGTCTTACAATCTTACTGCCTACTCTTCTGCAGGACACCCTGATCTCTGAGGGGAGGGATTTGATTGAGACCTCCAATATAGACACTCCCTTGCTATAATGTCTGGCTGTGAGTTTGTACATCTGTTCCCATCTGCTGAGAGAAGAAGCCTCTCTGATGATAACTGGATAAGGCACTGATCTACGAGTATAGCAGAATATCATAAGGAGTCATTTTCTTGTTTTGTTTTCTATAAATCAGTCATATTGGGTTTATCCCAAATCGCTGGGCTATCTGGTCTCTACTGTCTGGTTAGCCAAGTAGTGGTGGGTGTGGGTTCTTTCTTGTGGAGTAAGTCTTAAGTCAAATCAGACATTGGCTGGCTGTTCCCACAGGTTCTGTGCCGCCATTGCCCTAGCATATTTGCGGCTGGGTTGGTGTTCACATTTCTCTTCAGGAAGCCTGCAGAGTACCAAAGAAACTAGAAGATAGGGGTGAAGGCTCCATGTAGGCAACAGCTTGACTTTTCCATGTTCAATGAACTGTGTGAATGTTATTCTCAGCAATGGGATCCCACTGTCAGTTTTCAGAAAACAACCCTTTGTTTTAGTATCAGCCTGGGTCATTTGGGGATTTCTGTGGGACCACTTTGGCCAGTAACTGAATCAAATGTCACCCAGTCCCTCCATCTTGTAGTCTTGTCCGGCTACAAGAGATGGCCAACTGAGACTCCATATACCCCATTACTAGGAATCCTCATTAGGATCACCTTCATATTTTCCAGGAAATTTCCACACCACCCTCAAAGGCCCCTCAATTCCAAGCATTTCTTCCTGCACTCTTCCTGTATCCTCTCCCCCATACACATGGTCCCTCCCACTCCCATCCCCACACATCTCCAGTTCCCGTAAAATCCATTCTGTCTCCCCTTCCCAGGAAGATCCATTCATCCCCCCACTTGAGTCATCCCGATTACCTAACCTCTCTGAGCCTGTGGATTGTAGTTTGGTTATCATTTACTTTACAGATAATATCTGCATATAAATTAGTACAGACCATAGCTGTCTTTCTAGGTCTAGGTTACTTCACTCAGGATGATTTCTCTAGTTGCATCAATTTGCCTGTACATTTTATAATGTCATTATTTTTAACAGCTGAGTACCAACGCAGAAATGTACCACATTTGGTGTGTCCAGTCTTCTATTTAGGTACATCTAGGTTTTTTTCCAGTTTTTGGCTATTATAAATAAAGCTGCAATGAACATGGTGGAATGAGTGTCCTTGTGGTAAGATGAAGTGCCCTTTGGGTACACTCCCATGAGTTATATAGCTGGGTATTGGGGTAGAAAATTTCCCAATTCTCTGAGAAATCATCATATTGATTTCCATAATGGTTGTACAGGTTTGCACTCTTACCAACAGTGGAGGAGTGCTCCCCTTGCTCCACATCCTCACCAGCATGAGCTGTCACTTGTGGTTTTGGTCTTAGTTATTCTGAAGGTATAAGATAGAATCTCAAAGTAGTTTTGATGTGCACTGAAAAATCTGGCCCTGAGCTTTTTTTTTAGACTTTTAATGACTCCTGCTATTTTTCTAGGTTTTTAAATTTATTTAAATTATTTCTCTGGTCTTGATGTAATTTTGGTAAGTGGTACCTATAAACAAAACTGTCCATTTCTTTTAGATTCTCCAGTTTGGCTGAATACAGGTTTTTAAACTATGTCCTTAGGATTCTTAGGTTTTTTGTGTCTATTATTATGTCTTTCTTTCCATTTTTGATTTTGTTAATTTGGATATTCTCTCTCCATCTTTTAGTCTATTTAGGTAAGGGTTTAGTCTGTTTTGTTGATTTTCTTAAAGAACCAACTCATAATTTCATTGACTCTTTGTAAAACTCTCTTAGTTTCTATTTTATTGATTTCAGCCCCAAGTTTGATTATTTCTTGCTGTCTACTCCTTTTGGATGTGCTTATTTTTTTGTCCTAGAGATTTAAATGCTAGTATGAGAACTCTTCAATTTCTTTTTGTAGGCTATGGACACCCCTCTTAGCACTTCTTTCATTGTGTCCCATAAGTTTGGGTATGCTGTGTCTTCATTTTCATTGAATTCTAGAAAGTATTTAGTGTCTTTATTTTGCCTTGACACAATTTTCATTTGGTAGAGCATTGTTCAATTTCCCTGAATTTGTAAAATTTCTGTTGTTTCTGATGTTACTGATATCCTCTGTTTGAAAATTATCATTGTTTTTTAAATTGTTATTATCGAACTTACATCATAGTGTTTTGAATAGAAAAACCAATAATATTTCATTTACTGCTTATTAAGCACATGGTAGGATATTTTTCTAGTCTTTGTTATGTCATTGCATCAGTGACAGATTTGTTTTAGGAAGAACTTATGAAAGTAATGGGTGTCTTCTGTGCTTGGGGAAATAACCAAGTAGAATAAAAGGAGGTTTTCTTTATGAATGCCCAGAAACCCACATAAGAAAGCAAAGTCCATAAAAGGAATCTTTGAGGATAGTGTGTAGAGACTATAAGTAAAATTCTGACAAGTTGATTCTCTATTCACATCTGTTGATATATATGTATATATGCATATGTGTGTACATATATATACATGTATATAAAGTGTATGTGTATATTTTGTTATGATCATAGAGTTTATATACTTTCTGATAGAATGGATGATGATATATCAATAATGTTGTTGATAAACTTAAACCATACTGAACTGTCAGAACTCATTCCTAAGTCCTCATCCTGCAAACACGTCACTGGCAAACAAATTTGAAGGTTGAGCCAATTTTCTCACATCTTACATTATTTTACATGATGACTAAGAGGCAGCAGGTCCTCAAGGACTGTAATATTTTCAACCGAAAGAATATGCAGACATGTCTCAATGGATACAAGGGTTTGAAGCCAAGTGTGACAACCTGCTTTGATCCTGGGAACCTATAGAGGGAGAATCAATTCTTGCAAGTTGTTCTCTGACTTCCACATCTACCCACATCCACCTCAACTAATCTGCTACATGATCACAAACACATATGCACAACGATGATGATGATGATAATGTTCATACATTTGAAAAAGCCTGTAGTGCCATATTAGTACAGAATCTTAAACACTGTCTCCAGCATCTCCTAGTCCCTGTTTCATCAAACTCATCAGTCCATGTATCTTAATCATCATATGGCCCTCACCATTGTTTATGGTATAATTCAGCATTTTATAAATTACAAAAAACAACACATTAAAAGAACAGTTTATCTTGTCCAAATAAAGAGAGGGGGATTAGTAATAATAGGAGTCACTAGTCCTTCCCAAGATCTTAACAACTGAAAAAGGATCAAGATATGTGTTTGTAGATATGTTTATAAACTTCTGTCCTTCAGACCTAACCTCCTGAGTGACTTACCAGGAGATGTAGTGATGATTTCTTGATGTGGTCCTATGCATGACTCATTTGCAAGAACCATCTTATAAGCAAAGATTCTACTTGAAAACCCATGTGACAAATAGAACAGTAACACTTTCTTCCTTTGTCTCTCATTGCTTAGCAACAAGAGCCATGGGAAGGATCTGGGAGTTGGCCTTCCCACTGTGTCTCCACCATCTCAACCAAACCGTATCACTACTTCCCCCTCAGTGTGAGTAAACCTGGCTTCCTTTCAATTTGTTTGTGCTCTAGTAGTTTTCCAATATGACCAGATATCTCTGTTCTCCCAATATGTATACCCCCAACACACAGCATGGACATCTTACCTTCTGAAACCCTTTTTGTACTGCTACCCCTGTCCCAGGTTACTTCCTCAACATTTAGCTATATTGTAGAGTACTTGAAGCTTTAGGTTCCAGAGAAAAATTCAAACCCATCTTAAGTTTTCTAAGTAATCCAGTCATTAATAATCATTTGTACCTTTCTTCTGGTCACTGACAGATTATGAGACATTTTCCATCTGCACGTAAATATGCCTAGTCTATTATGCTAAGTTTTAACCTATCAAAATAGGCCAAAAAAGAATATAGAAGAAGAATAAGTAAAAATAGCGCACAAACAAATTTCATAGTTAAACTATGTGATTGTTTTCTAAATACCAGTCAAGCAGAGGAGGGTGTGTTTAACTGTTGGCTAGAGTAAACCATGAAATCTGTTTGTTATCTTTGAGTACCCGTAGTGTGATAGTGTGAGGTTGGTAATATCTGTAAGTTTTTCGTCTCCCATCTCTGCTTTTACTTGCATGTGATTAATATGCCCATATCTATATCATTTACCTCATTCAACTTTCTCACTTTTTCCAACTTTCACCACAACTTTTTAAAGAAAACTGCATTTGACTTCAGAGTTTCTAATCTCTCTATCTGATATGTTTGTTATCACAAGGTAACGTGAAGTAAATGGTTTAACTTTACAAATTTATCTCATGACATCTCTGTGGGGCTAGGAATCTACTATCATGCTATCTTCAGGAACACATGTTCTCTGAGTTTACTAAGAAATGGTTTTTTTCAAACATCTTTCATGTTCTAGTCATTCCCTGGTTTGTGGAAGCATAACTGTAAACATCAGCCATTGGTCTTTGTATCTGTGATTTCCCTCTTACAGAAACACTTGGATTGTGTGTGTGTGTGTGTGTGTGTGTGTGTGCGTGTGAAGTCAATGACAAAGAAGGTTTTTATGTGATGATAAAAGTTTAATTTTTCAGAAAGATATACAGTTTCAAATACATGTGCACTGATTTTCAGAACACCCAGGTATCTGAAAAAATAATGGGCTTGAAAAGAAAAATAGGAAGAAATATATTAATAGTAGAAAACTTTCATACCCACCCTATACATGCTTGTTAACTGTTTACAATTTAGTGTTGGCCACCCCCTTAGCAGTAAAGCTAACATTTTTCACAAATAGGCTCTAGTATTTCTCAGCATTGATAGTATGTTATACCATAGGCTATCATAAACATTCAAAAGACTGAAAGTATATTAAGTATCTCTTCTGACTTGAAAGTAAACTAAAATCAGTGACAAGGGCAGCTAGAAAACATAAATGTGTGGAAGTTAAACAATATGCTCTTGAATAACCAATGAAGTCCATAAAACCAAACAGAAACAAATAAAATCGGGACCCAACCAAAAACAAAAACAAGATATTCTAAAACTTATGGGATTCAAGGAAAATCATACTAAAGATGTGAACAGCAGCAATCAACACAGGTGTAAAGATAAGAAACAATTATGCACAGGCTGGAATGCTGATGGTGTGCGGTGCATTAAAATGCCTCCTACAACCTCACTGGTGATTGGATAAACCATCAGGAAGTTCATCCCTACAGACAATGTCAAGTACCTCTCTTGTAGGAATCTATTCTTAGGTTATATAACCGTGCCTTTTTTGTTTTTTAGCTTTTTGAAGAACATCCAGAATGATTTTCATAATGGATATATCAGTTTAAGCTTGCATCACCAAAGAACAAAGTTTTTCCTTTGTTTTATCCTTACCTGCCTTTTCTATCATTTATTATCTCGATGCCAGCCTGGATGACTCCTCACTCTTGCCTTCTCTGTCTCTCTTCTGTCCTGAGTGTGTTGTAGTGTAGTGGTGGTGGTGGTGGTGGTGATTGAGGGTGTGTGTATGTGTGCATGTGTGCGTGTGTGTGTGTGTGTATGTGTGTGTGTGTGAATGTAGCATACACCTGTAATCTCAGAACTGGGAGTAGGTGTAGAAACAGAAGAATGCCTTAAGCTCACTGGCCAGTCAGCCTAACTGAACTGATGAGCTCCAGGTTCACTGAGAGAATCTGTCTCAAAAAAACATCGTGAGTGGATGAGTGATTAACGAACATACCAAACATCAACTTATGGCTCCCCCCACATTTGTGGATGAACACACATGCACATGTTCACACACTCATAGATACAAATACTTATACTAGATAAATACACACACACACTCACACAAGTATAGAAAAAATTATAAAACAATAAGGAAACAACCATTCCAGTTTTTAAAAATGAGCCAGGTAGAGTTACCAAAGGAAGAAATACAAGTGGCCAATACTTACTGTAGGCTGTTGGTTGGTCCTATTGTTGGTATCCTTTGCCCTTACAGAAGTTTTTAGGTTTCAAGAGGTCCCATTTGTTAATTGTTGATGTTAGTGCCTGCACTATCAGTGTTGTGTTCAGAATTTGTCTCCTGTACCACTGCATTCAAGGCTATTTCCCACATTCTATTCTATCATGTTCAGAGTATCTGGATTTATATTGGGGTCTTTGATCCACTTGGACTTGAGTTTTGTGCAGGGCAATAGATATGGACCTATTTGCATTCTTCTACATGCAGACATCCACTTAGACCAGCACCATTTGTTGAAGATGACCTCATTGTGTAGTTCTGGCTTCTTTGTCAAAATGTAGTTGTCCATAGGTATGTGGATTTATGGCCAGGTCTTTGATTCAGCTCCATTGACCAATCTGTTTTTATAATAATATCATGCAGTTTTTATAGTACATATTGAAATCAAGGAAGTTGGTACTTTTGTAAGTTCTTTTATTGTACAGGATTGTGTAAGCTATCCTAATTTTTTTGTTTCACATATGAAGCTGAGTATTGTCCTTGCAAGTTCTGTAAAGAATTATGTTGAATTATTGATGGGGAAGGAATTCAATCTGTGGATTGCTTTTGGTAAGACAGTCATTTTTTAATATGCTAATCCTACCGATTCATGAGCATGGGAGATTGTTCCTTCTTTTAATATTTTCTTGGAGATGTTTCTTCAAAAACTGGAAGTTTTTGTCTGAGAAGTTTTTCACTTGCTTGGATAAAGTTACCCCAAGATATTTTATGTTATTTGTGGCTACTGTTAAGGGAGTTGTTTCCTTGATTTCTTTCTCAGTCTATTTGTCTATTGTATAAAGGAGGGCTACTGATTCTTTTGAGTTAAATTTGTATACAGCCACTTTACTGAAGGTGTTTATCCGCTGTAGAAGTTCCCTGGTAGAATGTTTGTGGTCACATATGTATACTATCATATTATCTGCAAAAATGATACTTTAATTTCTTTATTTAAATTTGAAACAATCTTGCTTGAAATGTCAATCCCAGCTCCCTCTCCCTCCCCTTCTCCCCCACCCTCCACTAGCTCTCCAAGCCCCCACCCCACCCTCATCTGCTCCCCAGGGATGAGGAGGTCTTCCATGGGGAATCTTCAAAGTCTGTCATATCATACCAGGCAGGGATTAGGCCCTCCCCCATGTGTCCAGGCTGAGAGAACATCCCTCCATGTGGAACGGGCTCCCAAAGTCCATTTGTACACCAGGGATAAATACTGATCTGTTGTCTAATGCCACATAGATTGCTGAGACCTGCTCACTAACACCCAAATTCAATGGGTCTGGATCAGTCCCATGCTGGCCTCTCAGTCACCAGTCTGGGGTCCATGAGCTCCCCCTTGTTCATGAGAGCTGCCTCTGTGGGCTTCACCAGCTGGGTCTTGACTCTTTTGCTCATCACTCCTCTCTCTCTGCAACTGGGTTCCAGGAGTTCAGTTCATTGGGTGGGTGTCTACGTCTGGTTCCATCAGACACTGGATGAAGGCTCTAGGATGACATATAAGGTAGTCATCAGTCTCATCAGGGGAGGGCATTTAAGGTAGCCTCTCCACTATTGCTTAGATTGTGAGTTGGTGTCATCCTTGTAGATCTCTGAAAATCTTACTAGTGCCAGATCTCTTCTCAAACCTATAGTGGCTCCCTCTATTATGGTATCTCTCACCCTGCTCTCTTCTATTCTTCCCCTGACTCAATCTTCCTGCTCCTCCATGTCCTCTTCTCCTCCTCTCTTTCTTCCAGCACCCTCTCTCCTCCCCTCCCCCCATTTTCCCAATCCCCTCAGGAGATCTCATCCTATTCCCCTTCTCTGGGGTACCATGCATATCTCTCTTAGAGTCCTTCCTGTTTCCCAGACTCTCTGGTGATGGAATTGTAGACTGGAAATCCCCTGCTCCATGTCTAAAATCCATATATGAGTGAATACATACAATTTTTGTCTTTTTGTGCCTGGGTTACCTCACTCAAGATGGTTTCTTCTAGTGCCATCCATTTGCCTGCAAATTTCAGGATTCTATTGTTTTTTCCCGCTGAATAGTACTCCATTGTATAAATGTACCACATTTTCTCTATCCATTCTTCAGTTGAAGGGCATCTAGGTTGCTTCCAGGTTCTGGCTATTATAAATAATGCTGCTATGAACATAGTGGAACAGATGTCCTTGTTGTATGATGTGCATCTTTTGGGTATCCACCTAAGAGAGGAATTACTGGATTCTGTGGTAGACTGATTTCCATTTTCCTGGGAAATCTCCATACTGATCTCCAAAGTGGCTGTAGGAGTTAGCACTCCCACCAACAGTGGAGGAGTGTTTCCATTTTTCCACATCCTCTCCAGCATAAACTATCCTTGGTGTTTTTGATTTTAGCCATTCTGACAGGAGTGAGATGGTATCTCAGAGTTGTTTTTATTTGCATTTCCTTGATGACTAAGGATGTTGAGCACTTTCTTAAGTGCCTATCAGCCATTTTAGACTCCTCTATTGAGAATTCTCTATTTAGTTCTGTACCCCCGCTTTTGGTTGGATTATTTGGTGTTTTGGAGA